AGCAGCACACAGTCAGAAAGCTCCGACCTCGGTTCCCCACGGCCTGTAGGGTTTACTGCTGCTGCTGTGTGGAGTCTGCGAGGAAGAGGAGGAGGAGACGGGGGGACTGGCAGCAGAGGAGGTGAAGGAGGAGTGAGGGAGGATGGGAATGCCTCCGTGGAGGGCGATGGGAAACGACGCTGAGAGGGAAAGCAGGGAGGCGGAGAGAGGGGTGGGGGTGCAGGGGAGCACGAGGGATGAGGAAGAGGAGGAAGAAGGTGAGGAGGAGGTGGAGTCTGCATGGGAAGAAAATGAGGAGGAGACAACACCGCGCTGGGAGCCTCCGCCTCCTCCAACGTCCGGAGAAACCAGCCCGCTAAGTCTGTAGGGCAAAGGACGAAATGCGGCCAAAGCAGCCGCCCAATGGTGCGGGTGGTGGAACGGGTGAGGCAGGGGGTGGGGCTGCTGGGGGTGGGGGTGGTGTGACGAATGGGAGGCAGTTGTAAGGGCGGCGGCGTCACGCTGGGAGGCACAGGAGGCGAGGTGGGAGAGAAGGCGGGAGCGCAGTGGGTCGCCGGAGTCGAGCCCCTCCACAGCGCTCAGGTAGCGGGAAACCTCAGTCACGCACTCCCTGAAGCCCAGAGACAGGAAGTCCAGGGCGAAAGCGTGGGCGTCGAAATAACCTGCAGGCAGAAAAGGGCGGGGTTAACATCATGGAGGGAGGCAGGGCTTAAAATCAGATTCTAAATCAAATTGAAAAATTATGAGGGCAGCCAGTCATTACAAACTCCACCAGAAACACAAACGTCACCAGAAACACTAAACAGGTTTCCCTCAGTCACTTTGGGGTGACGGGGTGTTGGTTTAAGCTCAGCTGTGGGAGGACAGGTGAGCACAGGTGAAGCTGAAGGTTCAGGGTTCAGTGTCTGATCAGTCTCCTATTTATGCGCCATGCTGGGATCTATGCAGTAGTGCACCTGTAAGCTGGTTTGTTAATTGGCCAGTAAAATTAGAATAATAATTTTTTAAAAAAGAGTAGAAGACAACAAAGAAGAGTCGATCACCTGAGCAGGTGATGCAAACACTGTGTCTGTGTGCCATGTTGGGACACACAGAGCAGTGCTGACATCAGTTACACAATGTCTATGAAATAAAATTCTGGTCATGTCTTCATTGAGCATGTATGTGACCACATAGAATAACCCCTCCCCGCACAATCACAACCTCCAACCACAACAGACATATTTTGTTTTCAAACTCCCGTGCAGTTCATTTCATACTTCAAACATTTAGTAAACAATTAAACAAATAAAAGTAAACTGCAATAAATTACAGGTAGCAATAAAATAAACTACTAACTCTTTTACGCTACGTCCACACCTACACGGGTATTTTTGAAAACGCAGCTGTTTCTATGCGTTTGGACCTTTTGTCCACACGTAAACAGCGTTTCGAATCACCGAAAACTGAGATTTTTTAAACTCCTGTCAGGTTGGAGATTTTCAAAAACTCATCACGCAACGTCAAAGGTATGTGCCCGTTTTCACGTCGCGCTGTGCGCCACGTTATTGTTTACATGAGATGAATTACTACAATGGCGGATAGAGACAAAATACTGTTACTCTTACTATCTGCAATTTTTAAACGCTTACATATACACACGCAGTTACTGTCCTTCCATTTAGAAGGGCAGAGGCGTCGTGGTGTAATTATTTTATGTGTAGTTGTTTTTTGTCCTGTGTAATAATATTCAACATTGCTATCAATACATTTTTCAAAAAATGCCTCTCTGTGCAAAAACATAAACAGCTGTGGGATACTGTTTGTCTGTGATTTGAACCATGGGAACAAATCATGGCAGGATCAGCCTGATATTATTTGTATCCCACTGTAACTTTACTGTTTAAAGAGCTAACATCTCCAAAATGTCAGGAGTAGTTAGTCATTATAAGAAGTGTTTGTGAACTAAAATTCCACAATGTGGGATACTGTTTGCCTGTGATTTGAACAGCCCAGCGCGTGCTCCTGATGCAGGGGAAACTAATTCTGTCAGGGATACTTTCCTTGGCACTTGTGCAGGTGAAGCCAAAGGGAAGATATGCTTCATCATAGTCTTTGGCTTGGAAGGAAGTTGGTTTGGAAACATATTTGGCGATGCTTCATCTTCTACTCTGCGTTTGAGT